CACACACACATGCACACACACGAGTCAGACTATATTAACGGTCCAGTCACTCCCCGACATCATCCGTTGACTCCTCCGCCTCCGGCTTCGAGCCGGAGTCTTTGGCCCGTGGAGCCGATGGAAGCAGCCTCACAACACCACAAATGTTTGCAGCAAGCAAGTGGCAAGAAATATGTGCCGCGAGGGCACTTCTCTTTCAGGAGGTCCAGCTTCGGATAGTAGCTGCTCCTGAGCATATGGATCACGACAGACAGAAATGCAAAACAGGCAAGAAAGCTCCAAGCAACATAAATTACGGTTCAGCCAATCGTCGGGGCCCGGTTCTTGAGGGCTCGGATGCGCGAGCAGGCTCTTCGCGTGAGAGAGCTGATCAGGGCTTTGTCGATCCCGGATAGGTGAGGCGCTGCCAGGACCACCTTACCACGGCATCTTGTAATGTGATGAACCAAGTTTGTGGATCTCAGTGCCACCAAGTTTCTGCCTGGTCGAACAGGCGGGGTGCTGGCGTCTTACAGACGTGAAAAGTTCCTAGGCTTGAAGCGTTCGTTGAATGATGTCTCGAATTGGACTTGTATGTTTGGCACTGAGATCCGGACTGAAAGTCGTGAACAACGCGTCCAAAAGTGGCCAGAGCATGAGATTTATATAATCTAACGGCACTTGATGATCAGGATTGGAGAAGCGCTTGCACCCCTCCCAGATCTGCTCGGCACCTCGATTGAGTGCACCGGAACACACAATACATGACAATGAGCTCCACAACTCAACTTCCTTGCAACATGCTTGCGACAAGAATCTTGTCGCGCTCTTCATGAGCGGCTTCATCTCGCCCACCATCGCCAGGACCAACTAAGGTCACAACGCACACTCAAGCAAAGCAAAAAAACCGGCTGCAGAATGGCAACAAATCATCGAGGAAGATTGTGAGGAGCCCACTCCTTCATCGGCCAGCATCTCAATCTCAACCTCCGGGTGGGTTGAAACCGAGACTGCAAATGCCTATGTACGTAGAATCACATGATATGTGAGAAATGCCTCGTCATCAGCTGCTTCAGCCGCCGGCCCCGGCGCAGCTTCAGCAGCCGATCCAGAGGATGCCATGACCCCTCTTCCGAAGCTTTCTAAGTTCTAGTGATCATCTTCCGAAGCTTTCTCACTTCTAGCGCACGACACTCAA